AGTGATTAATATAGTCTTTACTATTCACTTGGTATTGTTTAGCTTGTATCTCCCAATTGAGGTTTAAAACTGCAATTGATCAGTCTGTTATTGGCATATGTGCATACTGTGCGTATGCCTCGACAGGGCCTTAATTCACAAGCTTTTTGTAAGCAATGATGGATAGTGGCTAGCAGTGGAATCCAGAACGCGCGTTTCGTATTGGGTTCGAGTCCCAGAGGGAACATCAACTCTGAGATGCAGGTACATCCAGCTGATGAGTTCCAGATAGGACGAAACGCGCGTCCTGGATTCCACTGCTATCCACTATCCATCATTGCTTACAAAAAAGTCTTTACTAGTTCTCCAATTTTGTGTTTAAAAATCATGTTTAATTTCTACCTATACATATAAAACTTACTCAGTTTATGTATTCCTGAGAGAAAATCACATTATTTGGTAACTTCTTGATCTAGATCACTCTATTCTGGTAGATAGATCATCTTCATTCTCTTTACAAGTATGTAGCATAACAAGGAAATCGCCAAGTTCGTTTATATTTCATAAACAGATAATAGTGAATGAAAGTAAGTTACCAGAATACTAGGTGGTCTCCTAATTTAATAAGGAATCGTGATAGCTGAGTTTTGTATACTCAGAGGGAGAGAGAAAAGTCAGCCCAAACAGTCTTATACCTAATTAGTCTTTAATAGATCAGATTTGATGAGCACTTTAGAACCATTGAATTAGAGTTATTACACACACACAAAGCCTATTCTAGTGTATAATCTTGGTAATTTATGTACCGTTAGCAGAGGTTGTTTCTGATAAGTTTTTATTGAGACCATGAACCGATTGATGTTAGACCACCATTGTAAACCTGAAACTACTGGACAACCGTCTCCTCTTATTGTGGGACTCCTCAACAGTGCACATCCAAGATCCCGCCTCGCGAGATTCTAACCCTGGTCCTTTGGTCTCACACGTGAACGCTTAACTTCTAGGCTACTGAGCTGATCGGCATCCAACAATGTTAATGCCTAACCTTAACCAATCGTACATTGGACAATGCTACAAAAGTATTCATATACTACTACCGCTACCACTATCACTACTACTACTACTACTACTACTACTACTACTACTACTACTACTACTGCTACTACTACTACTACTACTACTACCACTACTACCACTACTACTATTACTACTACTTCTACTACACCTACGACTACTACCACTAATACTAATACTAAAACTACTACTTCCAGCTATCTAACATTAAAGCAACAGATCTACTAAACTATTGAATCATTCACAGTTTATTCTTTGTTTTCATTTTTTATTACAATAAGGGAAAGAATAAACAAAACAAACAAACGGAAGTTAGGTGATTAAATTAATAATAAGAGAAGCATATGACGTAGAATATGTATATAACATAAATCATTTGGCGCCAAAATAGAAATTTAATCACACAACGTGATAATTAGATTGAATTTAACGTTTGTGAATTAATGTAATATTGAAACAATTATTTTATATAAGATTCAATATATGCCAATAATAGATTGATAAATTATAGTCTTAAATTTCAATTGTTGAGAACATGAGTCAATTAGTTGAAGTTAGACATTAACATCTTTGGATGCCGGCCGGCTCAATGGTCTAGTGGTTAAGTGCTCGCGCGCGAGACCAGTGGGTCCTGGGTTCGACTCCTGTAAGAGGGATCGTGAGTGTGCACTGTTGAGGAGTCTCACAACAGGACGAAATGGCCGTCCAATGTTTACAGGTTTTCCATGCTGGTCTAGCTTCGACTGATTCATGATCTCAACAATTGAAATTACTAAGATCTCCACAAAACCCCCTTCTGACAATAGTCTTAGTTATCAATGAGAAGATTGAAGTAAATAATTTCAAGTTGAATCATGTTTCCGGCTCAATGATCTACAGGTTAAGTGTTTGCAAATGACACCGAAAGTCATGGGTCCGGATCCTGTAAGAGGGATCGTGGTTATGCACTGTTGAGGAGTTCCACACCAGGATGAAGCGAACGTACATTACTTCCAGGTTTTTAATAATGGTCTAACATTAATCGATTCATGATCTCAATTAAAAACGTAATAATCTCCATAACCCTACACTCATAATTACTGTGAATGGTTTGATTTATCTATTTCAGTGAAATCGATTTCAGATCAATGGATTCATGGAACATGGAAGTTTCTTTTTACTTACTGGCATGTTTCGGTCGAAAAGTCAGCAACTTTATAAAGTAAACTAGATGACACTCTACTACTGTTAGACACAATCTCTTAGTAGAGTTATTCAACTTTAACAAAATATGAGCAATAACATTTGGTCGATGTTTTGTTTCTCATAACCTGGAATTCAATTCATGTATGTACATAAAGCTCGTATATAAGGTATAATGCTTCATTTATCATTATCCAGTAAATGTTCGTTTCCCTTTTTATTGATCCTTAGGGTGTTATTTGATCAATATCTGTCGGTAATTTCAATAGTCGAGATCATGAGTTAATTGAATCTAGACCACCATGAAAAATCTGGAAACACTGGACAGCCATTTCATCCCATTGTGGGACTCCTCCTTGGAAGTGCGCATCCACAACCCCCTCTTGCGGGATTCGAACCCAGGATCTATCAGTCGATGACCCGATTCTACACTAGTGTTTGAAGAGATCATTATGACGTAGTAGTTTTAATATGAAAATTAATATTTGGATGCAAGCATATCCAGTCGATGAGATCTTAACAATAGAAGTTGTACTTTCTGAACCCAATTGCTAATCAATATTTAAAATATCTTCATATTTTCATGTTATTTTATAGAAATTCAAATATATTCAATCAATTTAGATATTTAATCTTAGAGAAGATCCGTTGTGACTAGTTTAACTTAGTGATAACCTCTCAAACTAAGAAATTAGGTGACTCTATTTCCATACCAATTTCCTAATGACTTCAGATACTTATTATTTATAAGTGTCAACTAGCATAGAACTCAAATACAAAACGAACCTTTCATAGTCGAATTCATAAGTCAATTAAAGCTAGACCATCATAGAAAATCTAGAAACATTGGATGGTTATCTCATCCTAGTATGGGAGTCCTCAACAATGCACAACCACGATCCAACTAGCGAGATTCGAACCCAGGACCTATTGGTCTCGAACGAAAACCTCTAGGCCACTGGGTCACTCCTGAAACAAACATTCATATAAACCAAATTAAAATATTCTAACATAATGTATTACTACTAATTGATATGTAACTTGATGTAATTCGATCGAATACTAAAATTATAGCCAATATCTGACTATACTCATACGCACTTACACACACACACACACATACACATCTATCTTTCACTACTCTTAACTCGATTTTATTAAAGATTTACAGTTACATAAAGACTATGAATGACTACTGGTTTGTTTCGATGAAATTATTATTTATGTAGCATTTACTATAAATAAACATACAAATAAAGAGTCATACACAGTTACGGATTACTACCTTTCTTGTTCACCTGTATACATACACCTAGGCATAGATACTTGTGTAACATAGGCATAGATCGACGTCGGTTTCTACACACACACACACGGAAACAATCGTACGAATAGGTAAACAAAACTTCTAGAAAATCAAATTTAGTCAACAAAATGGGAAATAAAATTACCTATTCTCATAGAAATGTTTATTGAGGAGTTTTTTTCTTGTTTTCACTCAACCTAATGACGGATTGACTGACCAATCAAATAACACCACTATCGTCATCACTCTATATTTCTCTTTAATTTCAATAGAATATTGAAGAGATAATTTAGTGATTTCAATTGTTGAAATCATGAATCAATTGAAGCTAGAGTACTATGGAAAAGCTAGAAGTAATGAACGGCTGTTTTGTCTTATGGTGAAATAGTAACTCATTGAAGACAATGATGGATGTGTCGCTCGATTTCGTGGATTAGTGGAAGTTAGATATTAATACGGTTGGATGTCGACCAGTTGATTGGTCCAGAGGTTAAACGTCTCCATGTGAGACTGATAGGTCCTGAGTTCGAATCTCGCAAAGCAGGATCGTGGATGCGCACTGCTACTGAGGAGTCTCATATTAAAACAGAACGTCCACCCAATGCTTCCTGATTTTCCATGATGGTCTAGCTTCAATTGACTTACGATTTCAACTATCGAAATGACTAAAATCTCCAGAAAATCCCCCTTCAGATAATTCAATATTTAGGATAATAAATTGTAGAATACTTATGAAGAATTGATTTTCAATAGAAAATAATTGGCATGGTATATAGGAAAATTTACTCAAAAATCACGTGTAAGTACTGATGAGCACAGGCCCACACACGTACTCACGCACACACACACACACGCACAACATGTATACAATGCCAAGACAACTAGCTCTATAGACAATCCTGTACAACATATATGCTATTAACATTGATTAAGTAGGTAAATAGAAGACATTTAGTAAAGTGTATGAAATCGTTAATAATAATGAGCAAAATAATTTATTAATCCTACTCTTCTCATTTTGGCACAGATATTTTGTTTTTTTGTTTACAAATTAACCCCTGTCAATGATGACGATGCTGCTGCTGATGAGGAGGAGGAGGACGAGGGGAGAGGAGGAATTAGAGAATGACAGTAGAGAATAAGCAACAACAACAACAACAACAAAAATGTAGACTCACTCTACTCACAACCCACTTCTCCAATTATATGACAGTGTTAATATACAAAATGAATCATACTGAGTGAACACTTAGATTCTCAATGTATATATATATAGAAGATAGAAGAACAAACAATGTGAATAATCAATCCTGTTATGAAAAGATATAAAATAACATTCTTATAGTAATAATAAAGATGATTATGGTCAAAACAATAACAACAACAACAACAATAAGGAACATAAGTAGAGTGAAAGAAACACTCAAGTAAATGAATAATACAAAATATCGAATAGTATATGGAAAACAAGTGGAAAAGAAATAATGTTAGGGATAACGATGATGATGATGATGATGATGATGATGATGATGATGATGATGATGATGATGATGATGATGATGATGATGATGATGATGATGATGATGATGATGATGATGATGATGATGATGATGATGATGATGATGATGATGATGATGATGATGATGATGATGATGATGATGATGATGATGATGATGATGATGATGATGATGATGATGATGATGATGATGATGATGATGATGATGATGATGATGATGATGATGATGATGATGATGATGATGATGATGATGATGATGATGATGATGATGATGATGATGATGATGATGATGATGATGATGATGATGATGATGATGATGATGATGATGATGATGATGATGATGATGATGATGATGATGATGATGATGATGATGATGATGATGATGATGATGATGATGATGATGATGATGATGATGATGATGATGATGATGATGATGATGATGATGATGATGATGATGATGATGATGATGATGATGATGATGATGATGATGATGATGATGATGATGATGATGATGATGATGATGATGATGATGATGATGATGATGATGATGATGATGATGATGATGATGGTATTTTCGTTTCAAGTTGATTAGCAATAAAAAAACTAATATTTCATCCTGATATGATAATCTTCAGCAATGTGAATTTGTGATTTCATGTTACAGAACGAACCTAATGGCCAAGAGGTTTAAGTTTATGATCAATACTTACTTACGCCTGTTACTTCCAGTGGAGCATAGGCCACCCTCCAGTATTATCCAACCCATTCTGTCCTGTGCCTTCCTTTCCAGTTGTATTCAATTTTTTTTCATTTTTCTCATGTCTTTCTCCATTTCTTTGGTATTCCACTTCTCCTTTGGAATTGAGGATCCTAGATGACGGTTTGCCTTGTGACGCAGTTGGGTGTTTTCTTCAATATGTGTCTATCCACATCCAGCACTTCTTCCTCATTTCTTCCCCCATTGGAATCTCGCTTGTTCTCTCCCACAACAGTAGGTTATTGTTTATCGTGTCTGGTGAACGGATCTGAAGTATTTGGCATAGACAACTGTTAACACACAATTGTATCTTCTGCATGATAGGTGTCGTAGTTGTCCAAGTTTCCACCCCACACAGTAGAACTGTCTCGACATTTATATTGAAAATTCTGAGTTTGGTGTTGACAATTGACAGAGAGTTGATTTGAGTTCCAGATATTCTTCAGTTGTAGATATGCTGCTGTTGCTTTACCGATCCACGCCTCCACATTTGAATCAAATTCATCGTGTTCATGAATGATGCTGTCCATATATGTAAATGTTTTTACATCTTCCAAATCTTCTCCATCAAGTTTAATTTGATTTGTGCAGTTCGTGTTTTATCAGAGAATCTCGCTTTTCCCCTTGTGTATGTTGAGACCTAATGTTGCTGATTGTGCTGCTACACGGGTCGTCTTCTCCTGCATTTGTTGTTGCGTGTGCGTTAAAAGAGCTAGATCACCTACGAAGTCTAAATCGTCTAGCTACATCCTAGCTGTCCATTGTATCCCATGCTTCCCTCCAGATGCTGACTTCATGATCCAGTCGATCACCGTGAGAAAGAGAAAAACGCTGACCAGAAAAAAAGTTTAAATCAATGAGGAGTACTAAATAATCACCATACATTATTATTATCACTGATATCTGTCTCACTGCTAACATGACCGGATTAAACTTACCATACAATTACCACTATGCCTAATGATCTTAAGAGGTGTGCAACTACTGTTTATTAAGGTAGAGTCAAACCATATCACCGATGGATCACAGAATATCTATCAAAATGGAATTAAAATTGGAAGTTGTTGTTAGATTCTACATCACGAATGCAAAAAAATCCTTAACTCCATATTCTAAACTCCAGTTATGATTGATATCTCCTGACTAGTTAAAAGGGTTAACAATCCAAGTTCATTCAGCTACATAATTCAAATTTCTTTTTAGTTCATATTAAACAGTCTTCATAATCCCTGATGTATCTTAGATAAATTTCAGTAACATGATGATGTGTACTACTGATATCGATAAATATAAGTAGTATATAATACCAACCAGAAATAGGAGGTATGGCAGCAGAAATTTGAAAGGATTGGATCAATGAGAACGAGAACATTTGGAAACTGTCATTGAAATGAAGGAACAATTGATGTAGTATTTGCATATGAAGTGTTCAATGGATGATTTTAACCTTTTACCAACTTACTTATTGATTGAGATCATGAACTGATTGATGTTAGACCACCATTAAAAACCTGGAAGCACTCGACAGCCGTTTCGTCCTATTGTGGGACTCCTCAGCACTGCGCATCCACGATTTCGCTCGCAGGATTCGAACCCGGGGCCTTCAGTCTCTCTTAACCTACTGGACCACTGAACCGGCATCCAGTGGTGTTAATGTCTAAGCTTAACCAATCCACGAAATTTCGCGACTGCTGAAGAGTCCCACACTAGGACGAAATGGCCATCCGGTGCTTCCAGGATTTCCATAGTGGCCTAGCTTCAATTGACTCATGATTACAATCTGTAAAAGTTTGTTCTTTGTTTTATACATGAGTTAATCAGGTCACGGATACATAGAATAATCTATGTATTCATCTATATATTTTATGTATGTTTGTCTATACATGAGTACAGAAAGGGTTGTCATTGTTCTATATGTGTGTTTCATTAAATCATGATTAAACAATAAAAATAATTCTCATTCAAGGGGAATGAGATATTAACGCACGTATAAAACAAAGAGAAACGTTTTAATGATACGGTAATGGTTTGACTTCGACATAATTCTTTAGGGTTCATTTATCATTCACCTTGATTACTTTACAACACAACATGCAGCAATCAAATCACACTTGATGGAGAAGATTTGGAAGATGTAGGAACATTTACATATATGGACAGCATCATTCATGAACACGATGAATTTGATTCAAATGTGGAGGCGCGCATCGGTAAAGCAACAGCAGCATATCTACAACTGAAGAATATCTGGAACTCAAATCAACTCTCTGTCAATTGTCAACACCAAACTCAGAATTTTCAATATAAATGTCGAGACAGTTCTACTGTGTGGGGTGGAAACGTGGACAACTACGAAAGCAATCACCCAGTAAATACAAGTGGTTATTAACAGTTTTCTACACAAAATAATTCGGATCAGTTGACCATACACGATCAACAACAACTTACTGTTGTGGGAGAGAACAAATCAAATTGAAGTGGAGGAAGAAATTGGGAATAAACACTGAAACTGGATAGGATACAAATTGTGGAAAGCACCCAACTCTATCACATTGCAAGCCCTCACATGAAATCCTCAAGGCCAAAGGAGGAGAAGAGGAAGACTAAAGAACACATTACACCGAGAAATGGAAATAGACATGAGAAAAATGAACAACAATTGGATAGAATTAGAAAAAAGTGTGTAGGACATAGTGAGTTGGAGAATGCTGGTCTGTAGTCAATATTCCATTGGGAGTAACAAGGCGTAAGGTAAACTAATCAAGATGATTGATAAATGAACCCTAAAGAATTATGTTGAAGTCAAACTATTACCGTATCATTAAAACGTTTCTCTTTGTTTTATACGTGTGTATATACATGCGTTAATATCTCATTCCCCTTGAATGAGAATTAGTTTTATAGTTTAATCATGATTTAATGAAACACACGTATATAGAACAATGACAACCCTTTCTATACTCATGTATAGACAAACATACATAAAATGTATAGATTAATACATATGATTATTCTATGTATCCGTGACCTGATTAACTTAAATTGTCCCCAGTCATTAACCGTATGAGTTTTTCCTCTACCTTCCCCCCCCCTTTTCTTCTTCCTCCACCTTCTATTCATCTAAGCATCTAAGTGAACTTATTCTAAGCAATGGTTTTAATCATAATGACTATTTTTGATATTGATAAGTTTCGACAACGCATTAATTGTGTGAATCATGTTTTTTTTTCCAGTTATATATTTATCTCTTGTTCTTATTCAACACTGATCATTCTTGTTTCTATAGTAACAAAATAATAAACAAAATATAGTTGTCAATGTTGATTAGATGTGACATCAAGAGAAGAAGCAAACTATTGTAATCACTCTGTTGTAAAACTCTTTTAAGGTTACTTCAAATTTGAAACCTGATGAAAGGGAGAATGTTAGAATGTGGTTAATAACTTCTCCAACCTCCATCAATCGTAATTAGAAAAAAAATAATTTTAATTCAATGCTTCGAGTTGAAAAATTTCCATTCTGAAGAATAATGATCTGGTAAGATGAAAGCTAAAATTCTTTGTAAATCATGAAGCTGAAATCTCTTCTAACAAAACATGGCACAAGTCCATAAAGTCACTGACAAGTGAACTGAGTCATGTTGATAGGTGTAGACTACCTGGTTGGGGTCTGTGAGATGATAGCAATCGATGGTTAGAGACCTTGAATGACATGGCTCAAAGTCGTTTGCAATGGCTCAGGTGCATCCAATCTTTGTGTTCTCCCAAATTCTGATCTTCTGAATTCTTCATGTCCCTTTCTTTTTTCTCTTTCCAAATTTATTTCACTGGATTATACTCCTTGAATAACATCTTCAAACTCTAATCTTTCCGATTACTGCTTATACTCTTACTACCTTTACCACTACGGAATTTGAGTCGACAACTGCATTTCTGTGCTGATATGGTATGGTAACTCGAACTGATGTACGAAGTTCTACGTTGTTACTGACTGACTTCTAACAACTAGACGACCAATAATATAAATATATGGAATGTCCACATATTGTAGGAGATCAGAATGACCTGTCAATTAGCTGAATAAATGAAAAAATACAACCTAACAGTGTATGAAATAACTGAAATACATTAGACTGAATTTGGACAGAAAAAGATAACCTTCAGCTGATGTATCGTATATCCAAAGCGGTGCATTGATACTGTGCAAAAATATACGAAAAGAACTTATAGGACGAGAATTTCATAGATCTAGAATCATTATTGTATCCTCAAAAATAACGAAGAAAGAGATTACTGTAAATGTCATTCAGTGCTACAGTGCCATCAATCATAGGACCAATGATGAACAAGCCCGATTTTATTATAAGCTGCAGTTCGTTTTTAAACGATGTTCAGAAGAAGACTCGAATACCAAGATTCGAACGAATTACACCGAGTATTAAGATATCATGAGATGAGATGGAAATATTATGTACGAATCGGTATATCAAGGATAGCATAGCTACAATTGAACAATCTATGGAACGCAAGACAACTATCAACATAGTTGCTTCTACTGTATAGAGCTGAATAGTTCGAGAACTACCACAACCAACATCAAAAATGTACAAGTATTTATAAATAATTGTCTATTCAATGTTCGTTGACCAAATATCATCAGCAACAACCTACTGTAAGAAAGAACAAACCAACTTACAGATGAAGGAGGGAGTTAGGAAAAGACGATGGAAGTGGATAGAAAACACATTTCAGAAATCACCAAACTGCATCACAAGGCAAGCACTAACTTCGAATCATGAAAGAAAAGGGAAAATAGGAATACCGAAGAACAC